GTGAGCCACTGGCGCCTGGCTTGGAATTCTTTTTAATGAATAATGGCTTCCAATTTCATTGGTAACTTGTCTTTTAATTATAAAGAATTGACCTTGGGCAATGAAAGCTGCATTTTGTTTCTGTAGAAACATCAATCTCCCTAAGTCCAATTAAGATGAGCATCTTTATGTTTGCATCATGTTTGCCTTTCTGAAAGAGGGGCTGATGGGTAGCTTATTTTCTAGGTTCTGTCATGAGAGAAAAAGAGGGCGGGGAGGGAGGGAGGGAAGGAGAGGGGGAGGGAAGGAAGGAGGGGGAGAGCAGATCCCTCACAGTCCACCTGCATAGGCTGGCTCTACCCTCAAAACACAGCACACAACTTGTGGGTGGGAATAGGGGGGTGGAAATCTGGGAGAGAGTGAGGGAAGAGGTGACACTGTCCAAAAAGAAATGCACTCTTTACTTGACTTACATAACTGTAGCCCCTCTGTACAGCATCTTTACAATAACAATTTTAAAAACAATTTATTTTAAAAAATAATTAATTAAAAAAATGATTCCTGCAGAAGAGTATTGCATTCCACAACCACCCAAAGCTTGGACAGAATCACACACACACACACACACACACATACACACACACCATTAACTGAAATACAACCCATGGGGAGAAGAAAGCACCCTTTAGGGAGATTTTAATTGCACACCATCTGTGGCAGCTAGCAGCAGGTGAGTGGATGGCAGGGGGAAGGGGAACTCCCCAGCCAGCCCGGCTACCTGGTGGCCAGGGCTCACTGGTGGGCCCTAGAAGAAGCTTACAGCTTGGTTGTCCTGCAAGGGGGCGGGGGGGGGGGGGGGACTGGGAGCCCGATGGGAGCAGGAACAGAGCAGGGGGTGTGGCTGACTGCAGGGTGGCAGGCACCTTCATTCTACCACCTTATCTCCAGCTTTGCCTAAGAGAAATCACTTCCCTGGCCAGACTCTGTGGCTCCCCACAGCTGGCTTGGACTCAGAGCCCCCTTCTCCTCCTCCCCCGGCCCAGTGAGGCAGACAGCCAAGCAAGAGCCTTCTTCACACTCTCCTCTGGCAGTGAACTTTTAATTAAAAGGGAAGCAAAAGACATTAATGATCAGTTAACAAATTTCAATCTCAGTGCAGACAAGGGAATTAATGGGTTTTAAAAAGGCTCTCGATAATTATTTCTTGAAGTTTAGAGAAAAGGACTAAAGATAAAATACACCTCTTCCCTCCGCTCTCTTCTGCTTTGGGGAAACTTGGCCACAAGGACAGCCACACCTGGCACCTGTATGCCAGGACTCTTCAGGAGCGGAAGCCTGTGGTCTTAATTAAGCATCCGACCCAGGACCCGGGGAGGACAGGGTGCAGGGAGCCTCCTCTGAGAGCCGGGGGCACGCTGGGCCCTGCGGTCCCCTCCGGCCTCACCCCATGGACCCCCATGTCCCATACCCAGGGAGCAATGATGCTTGGTGCACCAGGTCAAGGTGCATTTTCTCCTCTCTCAAAATAGAAATTACAGTAATGCCAAGGCCAAGGATTTTTGCTCAGGAAAGAGTGCTCGCCTAGCATGCACACAAGGCCTGGGGTTCCATCCAGGATTCTAAGAACAGGAAGAGGAGGGGAAGAGGATGGGAAAGAAGAGGAAGGGGACAGGGGATGGGAGAGGAAGAGAGAAGGAGGGGATGGGAGGGAAGGGAAGAAAAGGGAATCAAAGGGAAGCCAAGGGAAGGGAGGAAATTAATTACAGTAAAGAATTATACAATCTCAAAATAGAAGATATGATTTATTCAGGACAAAGTAATCAAAAAAAACTTCAAGGTGATATATATTCTTATTACTCTGAGTTTATCACCACCCGATACATACATTAATTTAAACACGCCATTATGCTTCATACATATGCAAGGCAAGCGCTCTACCACTGAGCCACCTTCCCAGCCCTGTGCTTCCTACATATGGAGAGATATTATGTAGCAGTTGAAGAAAACTGCCAAGTCGCCAGAGCTCAGAGTAGAAGAAATAAGGGGCTATGCCCCTCCCCCATGGCCTTGCAACCGTCTCGTCTTGGTTTTCCTCTCTCCTCGAAGGTTTATTTATAGCTTCCGGTGTTTTGCCACCCAAACTCCTTCTGAAATATCTCCCCCCTCCCGCCCCCCCCCCCACCTTGTTTCCAGAGCAGTCATTTTCTTTCCTTCCCTGCTTTCCTCAGAAGGAAAATTGAGGTGATGAGGCCTGCTTGAATTATTCAGCCAGCACAAATGGAAAGTGGGACGGGATCAAAGGCTTTAACTCCTGGGATTAAATACTACTGGGAGATGTCCGGGGCAGATGGACAGCCCGAGGGGAGCCACGGGTCCCGCCCCTCAGTTCAGTAAAACCTGAGCAAGCAGGCTGAGAAAACCTCGCTTTGTGTCTGAAAGACCCCACAACTCCACTTGTCACCAACACCACCCTCTGAGGTCATAGGACCCAGGACCAGAGGGGGGACATTTCCCAAAGGAAAAGGATGCCGACGAGTTAGTAAGTTAATGGGCTACTGAGAGGTGATGGAAACATAGGAGGTAAAACACAGTTGAAAGAGCCAGGGTCTCGAGAGTACCTCTAGAGGCTGTGTGTTGTCCCGTCTTCCCCTCCCTCCCTCCCCACCATGCTCACCGCCCCCTCCTCCCTGTGCTCTACCTTAAAAAGCAACTACCCTGTGCAGCCATGAACTGAAAGCTCTGAGAGAGCCACACATCAAACGTGCTTCCTTTCCATTGTTTTCCTCAGGTGCTTTGTCACAGCGCTGGTACATTGATTAGCACAGCTGAACACCACGGACTCAGCCCGTCTTTGCAAGGATTTCAGTTTGAGACCAACTGGGGCAGAAAACATCATGCTATTCCTCAATCAATATCAAGGCACCGTGGTCTATGCCTGTAAATCTTAGCTATGGAGAAGGCTGAGATTGAGAGGACCGCAGTTCTAGGCCAGAGCAGAAAGACAAGTCCAGGAGACTTTGTTTCTGTGGAAGAAGCCAGACATGGTAGCATGCACCTGTCATCCAGGTACCATGGGAAGTGAAAAACAGGAGGATCACAGCCCAGGTGCACATGTAGGCAAGAAATAAGAGCTTATGTCCAAAAAAAAAAAACAGAAAAGGGCTGAAGCTGTAGCCCCCAGGACAGAGGGCCTGCCTAGAAATGTATGAGGCCTTGAGTTCAAACCTCAGTCATACAAATAAAATGGAAAAGTCTGACATCAATCAGCATCATATCCCCGTGAAGGAAGATGCACTCACACATTGTGAGACATTCTGTTTCTTGTCATAGGCTTACTGGTAAAGAAGAATTCCAGATGGTCTTTGCTGTGTCCTAGACTGCATGGGTGTTACAGAATTTTTTCTAAGGAAATAAGCTTCAGGTCTCTATTTACATTCAGTTGAGAGAGGCAAGGGAAGGGGAAGAGAGAGAGAGAGGGGAGGGAAGGAGAGACAGAGAGACAGAGATCAAGGGTGAATATACCCAACAGGATAAATCCAATCCATTAGAATAAGAATTCCTAGGCATTATTGGGATTTAGAATCTGCCCTCTCCTTCCATTAGATAGAGAAACGAAATTAAAGCCTTCAAAGAATGAAATAAAGTCACTATTTCTTTTGAATTCATAAAAATGCTCTGAAGGCCTGGATTGAGATCAGCCATTTGTGAAACTGGCCAGGATAAAATGGAAACTAATAAATCCTCCAACTATGCATTTTTATGAAGTGGAAACTATGCTAATTTCTATAACTATGAAGAAAATAAAAGACTTCTTTGAGTCTAATCATCAATTTTATTGCCAAGGTCTTTAAATATTTAGTTTATTGCCTCTTTGGGACCAAAGTCTGAGTAGCTAAAATTGAAGGATGTTAGGAAGGGCACCCCAGGACATTGGCAGGCCTGTGGGGGTGGTGGGCTGTGCGGGAATTGGGTCCTCCAGTCCGCCATGGATGGAGGCCATCGGGCTCCAGGTTCGTTCATTCCCACCAGCGGATGTCAGGGCAGCAAAGCAAAGACGTTTACAAATCCTTCAGCCCCGTCTAAGTTCTGTCCTTCCTACCCTTCCAGGCCCAATACCTGCCTCCGTTTATCATTAATGTGTCTGCACTGGGGAAAACCCATGCACCAGGGAACCACAGTCCGAATCTACTCTTAGATGCCCGTCCCTACCACCAGAGCACCTGCGAGATAAACGCTGAATGAATGAACAAATGAATGAGTGGATGAAACAGTGCCCACGTAGACTGTAGGAGAGCTTCTGTTCTTTACAACTTATTCTTGGGCCTTCCTATTCCTCCTCTTCTTCTCCTCCTTTTCCTCCTCCTTCTTCTCTATGCCCCTCCCTTCTTTGCCTAGGCACAGGACCTTATCTACTGGTCCAAGAGGCACACGCTGGCTTCCTGGTGCTGTCTCAGCTCTCATCTGTCACTCTGCCTCCTTCTCTCCGTCCCCATGTCCCCACCCTGGAACTCCTGTGCAGATGGAACTGTCACATGCATGGTCCTCGGTTTACACCCTCATCCCTTCTCCCCTCTTAAGCCTTTGACTCTGCTCTGGCCCCTGGGGATCCACCCTTGGCTGTCCTCCCTCCCGCTGGCAGCCAGTTGGGCTGTTTCCTGCTGCCAACATGCTCGCCCCCTGGAGTGGTTTTCTTCAGGGATGCATTGTCATCCTCTGCTGACCCACAGGCTGAGCCCCTCTCCAGGCAGGAAGCCTCCGGAGTCAGCCCCCACTCATCCTTGACACATCGTGCGGTCCTTTGGTGCCACCAGACTGCGGTCCCCACAGTGGCCTCTCATTTCATACTGGTCCCAAGCAGACTCCAGCCCATCATGGTGGCTGAGCTGTGGATCCCACCTGGGGAGCAGAGAGGAGACAAGCTGTGGGATCACATGTCCCTCGACTTCCTCCGAGGGACAGACTTAAAAGAGGAAGCATCAGGCGTGGCCGTGTCCTCCAGAGGTGACCAGCAGGCAAAACAGCATCAGCCCAGCTGACACAGAGCTGCGGTCTCCGGGGGACCTGGCGGGGTGAGAACAGATTCCTTATGTCTGCAGTGGCTTTCATGGGGGACATGTTGGTACAAAGAACAGCTCTTCCCAAAGAACAGCTGTCCTCAGGGAGCAGCTTCACGTGACCTAGGCCTGGAGTGGGCCTGGTGGCCTCTCCTTGTCCCATATCTCCATGTCTCAGGTCCTCCTCCCACCTACTGGCAGATCCTGGGAGGTCCTGCATGCAGCTGCGGGTGGGGTCAGGCAGGCAGAGAGCAGCCACACATGCTCAGGCTGCCAGCTCCTGGCCCAGAGTCTACCGGCCTCCGAGAACATGGGGACCTCTAGACTTAGCCGAGCCAGAAGGCAGAATCTGGAAGCCTCCTAGGCTAGGGGCTGCAGGGTGTGGTAGGGGCTATGTGGGAGAGCTCCAGAGGCCAGTGCCAGAGCAATGGGGCCTCTTCCTGCCCCAGGGCCAACTCTGCCTACCTCTTCCTGCCCCGGCTACTCCCCTCCTCTCTCTATACCTCTTTTCTTAGCCCTGGAAGTGTTCTTTCCAGACTTGTGTAGATGTGACTCTGTGTGTGTGTGTGTGTGCGCGCGCACGCATGCGCTCCCACTTGTGCACATAGCTCTTTGTGTACGTGTGTCTGCAAGATATGAATACAATGTGTGTGTGTGCCATGGCTAGGGTGTCTTTCCAGGTGATGCCGTCATTATTCCCAGGATTTCACAGATGGAGCACTGGGTGAACTCTGTCTTCACTGTGTCACACACCATTAGTGTGTGGCTCTGGCCTGACTGGCCGCAGGCTCCCACTGTGACCGGTTCCCAGAGCTGTCCCTAAAGGCTCTGGCAAACAGGGGAAGGTTGAGACCAAGCATGTAGCTCGACAGACTTTGCTAGGAATAGCTAACCCTCATCAGTTTCTAAGATGTCTTTGGAAATGAAGATGACCTCTCACCTTTTGCACTGCAAAGATGGTCATTTCCCCCTACAATCTGTTAGGCACAAATTGTGTCTTTTTTTAGTCTAGCTGGTTGATGTCTTTGCCCTCAGGTGTACACTGTGAGGTACATAACCTCCTGCTTCTTTTACTATTTCATTTTCAAACATATTCACTGGCTTTCCTGCCTACCCCGAAAGCAGTGGGGACCTCAGCCGCAGGTCTACGGCGAGACATGAAGCATTCATGGTGTTAATGGTGGACATGAAGCGTTCATGGTGTTAATGGTGGACATGAAGCGTTCATGGTGTTAATGGTGGACATGAAGCGTTCATGGTGTTAATGGTGGACATGAAGCATTCACATGGATATGAAGGGTTCACATGGTGTTAATGGTGGACATGAAGCGTTCACATGGTGTTAATGGTGGACATGAAGCATTCACATGGATATAAAGGGTTCACATGGTGTTAATGGTGGACGTGAAGCGTTCACATGGTGTTAATGGTGGACATGAAGCGTTCATGGTGTTAATGGTGGACATGAAGCGTTCACATGGTGTTAATGGTGGACATGAAGCATTCACATGGATATAAAGGGTTCACATGGTGTTAATGGTGGACGTGAAGCGTTCACATGGTGTTAATGGTGGACATGAAGCATTCACATGGATATGAAGGGTTCACATGGTGTTAATGGTGGACGTGAAGCGTTCACATGGTGTTAATAGTGGACATGAAGTGTTCACATGGTGTTAATGGTGAACATGAAGCGTTCACGTGGTGTTAGATGGTGGACAGGCTTTCTCCTAAAATCTCCATAAAAATAGTTTGAGTTCTGCTTTAAGTTCAGAGGTATTTATTGGCCTGTTTTCAAACTGCTAACTAATGTGGGAAGGTCTCGTTCTGTTCCTTTCATCAAAAACCATGGCTCTAATACTCCCACTGTTGGACTCCATCAACAGCAAATTAATGGAAAACCGTACTTGGCAGGCCAGGCACTGCTAGCTCACACCTGTCACTCTAGCTACTCAGGAGGCTGAGATCTAAGGATCAGGGTTCAAAGCAGTTTGGCCAGGAAAAACCATGAGACTCTATCTTTAATTAACCACCAAAAGACTAGAAGTGGAGCTGTGGCTCAAGGTATAATCCCAAGCAAAAAGAAAAAAGAAAAAGAAAAAACTCAGGGATAGCAGCCAGACCTTGAGTTCAAGCTCCAGGACCAGCATGTGTGCGCACGCACACACACACACACACACACACACACGCACACACACACACACACACACACACACACACACACACATTTACTTGGCAGGGCTGTAGGTTCAGAAAATACATAGGTTGAGTTTTCCTGGGCTGTCCCTGCCCCTTTGTTTCTAATGACCCTTTCCTGAGAAGCCACCGAGAGTCCAGCTCTCTCAGACTCTTTTCTAAATGGACACAGGAGACTGACCACATTTCAACTGGAGGCTTAGACTTGTGAAAGCTTGAGGCCTATTATGTGGTCATTGTAGATGTAGACTTGGAGGGGGGACTTCCCTTCCTCTATCGCCATCCTCCTTCCCAGGGTGCCTCTACTTGGCTCGATGTGTTCGTCCATGAGGGCCGCTTGTCTAGCAGCACAGGGCTGGGCTTTGTTCCCCCCCAGGCCAGGCCAGGCTCTGAGGTGGCATTCTGATAGACCCCCAGAGCCTGGGCTTCTTAAGGGCCTGGACATATGGTTTTGTAGCTTTGCAAATCTTCCCTCACAACAGGAAGCCTGACCCATTCTGAGGGTTTTCTTCTCACCCGCCTCTCACCTCCGGCTGCCGTCTTGCTTAAGTGGCTCTTTCCTCCTGGTTTCCTCTTTCCCTGTGTTCACCGGAACATGTCTGATTTCTTAAGGCCTCCACACCCTTCGATCACCAGCTTTGTCCCACAGCTTTGCTGGTGGTATCACAGGGTTGTTGTTGGTGTGTTCTAGAGGCCAGGATGGTGGAAGGTGCCAGGCCCCAGTGGGCTCATCAGAGAACACAGCCTGGGCCACGACTCGGGACAGGTGACTCTTGACATTCGTTCCTAAGGTTGCGCTAGATGCGCCAGTGCTTCGCTGACATGGAGCTGCCTGAGCTGCAGAGTTCTGGGAGGTGGGGGGGGGCCCCGCCCTTCTCAAAGAGCCTCTCTTGGAATTTTGCACCTGAAGCATTGATGTGGGAAACTAAACTCCCATAGCCCCTCACCCTGAGCCTCCCCGCGGCCCAGCTAGTTTTGGTGGCAGTCACAACACTTAAGCAAGCAGGGTGTAACCTGGATGGTGAGAGGAGGCCATGTCCCCACCACCAGACTTCCTGTGGTCTAGGTTCGGTCTTGTAGGATATACTGTAGAGCTATCTTGCTGTAGATCTGTCTTGCTGTACTGTAGACCTTGCTTATTGTAGGTCTTGCAGAACTGTAGATCTATCTTGCTGTATTGTAGGTCTGTCTTGCAGTACTGTAGATCTATCTTGCTGTATTGTAGGTCTGTCTTGCTGTCACCCAGATTTGCACTTGTCCCTCTGGGCAATGGGAATGCTACTCAGGGGCTCAGTCTCCTCCTGTGAGGTTCAAGTTCTCCTGCTGGTGGTCACCAGGGCTTTGGGAGTGTGGGTGGGAGTCCTGTCCACAGACACAGAGAGCAGAACACTGTCTGCAGGCCTGGTCCACCCAGCTGCACTGCCCCCCAGGGGTGCAAGGGTTGTGAGTGACCCCACACTCACACACACTGACACTCAAGCTTGTAAGGACACGCTGGAAGTGGGCATAGAAAAGCAGACAGCTAATCTGCACAGCTCCTGGCCAGACTCTCAGCACAGCCCCTCTCCTGCAGGAGTTCAAGGCCTGACTCCCTCCTATTCTAGGCCAGCTGCCTGCTGGGAGCCCTGGTCAGGGCAGACTGCTCGAGTGCGGCTTTGAGGTCATAACTTCACAAAGCTCAGAGCCCTGCCCTAGGCCAAGTGTGTATGTATACCGGGTGCTGTGCTCATGCAGGCTGCGTGTGCGGATGTGTGGTAGGTGTGGATGTGTGCTTTGTGTGTAGTTTGTATGAAATGTGTATTGTGTGTGCTATAGGGAACATGTTGTGCATGGTGTCTAAGTTGTGTATGCACATGGCATGTATATGGCATATATGTGTGTGTGATACATGTGTAGTGTGTGTGCACGTGTGTGTATCTGTGTGTCCTTGTAGTGTTTCCTGTCTTCTATACCTGAACAGGTGTGCAGCCAACCTCCCGGGCTTCCCTCCTCTGAGTCTGGGGCCTTGTGTGTTGCCCGTACACGGTTCTTATACCCCACAGCCATGGGGATGGGATCTCTGGCTCTGCATCTCTAGGCCAGCTGGAGAGTCTCCAAGCGGTCACCCGAGTCGCCATGCCCCTCCTTCCTGGGAGCGCCTCCTCCTGGTGCATGCTGCGTCCCTGCCTCCTGCTGCTGACCCTGGTGGGGCTGCTCCCCCTCAGGCCCGGTGAGTCCACAGCTCTCCACAGACAGAAGGGCTGCCTCCTGACCCCCTCGACCCAAAGCCCTACAGCCTGAGGGAGGCCCAGGCTCACACACGACCTCAATCTCCCACCCAGCAGAGGAGGGAGTTCTGGCCTCCTCCAGGATTCTCCCTCGTTACCCCCACGTCAGCTGGCTCAAAGCCCCCCCAGGCCCCTTCACCTCCTCCACTCACCCTAAAGGGCAGTCAAGGGTGGGGGCTAAGGGCCCACTCACCCACCCGCCTGTCTCCCAGTCCTATGCCAGGAATGCACCAGGTCCAAGGTCAGAACCTGCGAGGACTGCATCCAGTCGGGGCCTGACTGTGCCTGGTGCCAGAAGATGGTAAGAGCCCAGTGGTCCCTGAGGTTCCTGGAGGCTGAGCGGCTCTGCCCTGTCCCCCTGCCTTCTCACCTGCTAGGCTGGACCAGCGAGGGACCCCAGAGCCATTTCCTCAAGGGACAGCCCAGAGCCCCCAGGACGTCCAAGAGAGAGAGACAAACAGGCTGTCCCTAAGCCAGCTGCAGGCCCAGAGGCACAAGCAGGTCAGGAGAGAAGCTTCTAGAAGGAGGCAGAGGAGCATCCAGTGGCACCCAGACATCTAGAGGTGGAGACAGTTCTCCTTGCAAAATGAGACCACACCCTCTCCTGGGGCCGCCAGGGCCTGACTCTGTAGGTGTCTTTGGAAACTCACATCAGGGCTTCACCTCAGGCTCCAGAGGCAGCTGGAACAGGAAGCCTTTGCCCTTTGCCTCTTTGAGGGTCTTTGGAACTCGCAAAACCAAGCATGTGTTTTGATCAGTATGTGCGTATTCATATTGACAAATACATCTTTATACTCAGAAAACCCATCATAATGTCTTATGATGATCGAATCTATAGATCTTATGCACATTTTGCAGCTTCTTCCCGCCAGGCCTGTGGTAGCATGTACTTTCTTGGTGGTTTTACCACCCAGGCCTGCACTGGTCAAGCGGATGTCTGGGATCTTTAGTCACCTTGAGTCAGGGACAGTCCTCAGCTCTCTGCCTTCTAGAAGGCCAGCAACATCCGTGTGTGGAGAACCCTCAGCTGGGCTGGTTATCCGGATTGATCCCAGCATTGCTCTGCCAGTGACTACCCTCTCTGTGCCCAAGGGCACACCAGTGCTGGTGATGTCCACCAGGACCCCAGCTGAGATCCTTGCCCCACCTCCCATCTGCACTATCGCTGGGAACTAATGTTTGTGCATTCTGTTCCCACGAAACCGCACCCACTAACATGGCCTCCTTCCATGACTCAGCCTCCCTGGATGACACTGGGATCATTGCAAACAGGCAGGGTCCTTCCCGTAACTCCTGTGTAAGGAAGCCACCCTCTTGTCTTTCTCCCCCATTTGATCTCTCTCCCCCCTCTCCTCCTCCCTTCCTCCTCTCTTTCCTTCTCTCTCTTTTTCTCCCCCCCACCCCCCATGGAAGCACAGTAGTCACTACTTCACTAGGATTGCCGGGCTGCCCCTCGAGGATCAGCCCGTGGGCTGCAGTCCCTCCAGCTGTCGGGCACAGTGGCTGAGGGAGGGAGAAGGGCCTGTGGTCCGACTCCGGTCTGACCTGGGCCCCTCGGGAAGCTGTCTGGGAGGCTGGGGTCTTCCCCCGCCTCTGTCCCCATGGCCAGGGATTTCGATCCCCAAGTCTGAGCCCCTGGTCCTGCAGCTGGGTCCTGTAGCCTCCTGAGCCCAGCCCACTCCCCCAGGACTTCACGGACCCAAGGGAGCCCGACTCTGCCCGCTGTGACACCCGGGAGCAGCTGCAGAATAAGGGCTGTGAAGCCAAGGACATCCTGGACCCCAAGAGCTTCGCCGTGCCCCAGGGAGACCCGCAGGGGGGAGGCACACAGCTGTCCCCACAGCAGCTGGCCCTTTACCTGCGGCCAGGTAGGCGTGGCCTTGCCTGGGGTGAGCCAGGCACCCTGTGTGGCTGAGGGCTGGCCAGACCAGACTGCGCCCCACCAGGGAACCTCAAGAGTAAAGGCTGACCTCCCCACCAGGTGCCATGGGTCACCTTCTTGAGGGCCCCCATCCTCATGACCCAGGGACCCCCGAAGCACCCCCCCATGCCATGCCCACTGGTGAGGTCCAGCATAGTGGACCTCCCCTCCACCGCTGTGCTGGGCACCAAGTGACTTGTGTCTGCATTCAAGTCCACCCCCTGTCTGACCCATAGCCCCCTGACAGTCTGTGGTGAAGGAGGAAGTGAAGGGAACTGGAGCCTGCCTGACCGGGCCATCTGGGCAAGCCCCAGGACGGGCACCCCATGGTGGCCCGCATGCCCGCATAGCTGCTCACCGGCCTTCCTCCCCACCCACAGGAAAGGTAGCTGCAGTCAATGTGGTCTTCCAGAGGGCCCAGGACGCCCCCATCGACCTGTACCTCCTGATGGCCCTGTCGGACCCCAGGCACAGCAACCCCGCCGACATCCAGAGGCTGGGTCGCCACCTGCTCCAAGCCCTCAACCGGACCACCAGGTCTGCCCGCATCGGTAAGTCCCACAGTGGCTGCGGCCGGCAGGCAGGGAGCTGCAGAGGGGGTGGCTCACCTGGCTCACCTGGGCATCTGCATGGCTACAGACAGAGCTGCAGCTCTACCAACCATCATGTCTACTCTCGGGCCCCCAAGACTTCAGTCATCATCCAGTCTCCCACCGCCTTTTCCTCTTCCTCCTCTTGCTTCTTTTATTTATCTGTGATTTTGTGTGTGTGTGTATTGTTATGTTTGTTCTTTTCTCTTTTTTTTGTCAGTCCTGGGGCTTGAACTCAGGGGCCTGGGCACTGTCCCTGAGCCCTTTTGCTCAAGGCTAGTGCTCTACCACTTGAGCCACAGCTCCACTTCCAGTTTTCTGGTGGTTAGTTGGCGATAAGCGTCTCACGGAGTTTCCAGCACAGGATGACTTTGAACTGGGATCCTCAGATCTCAGCCTCCTGAGTAGCTGGGCTGGAAGGCCTGGGCCACCGGTGCCCGGCTGTCTTTGCTTCTGTTTTAAAGACACAAATCTTTCAGAGCTCATTCTTCAAAATTAAAGAGCACAAGAGTATGTCAAGTACACAGCAAGGGAAGCCGTAAGGCAGCAATCACAGCAAACCCAGGGCTCAGGAGTCCCTGTGCTTTATGAGCACCAGTGCATGCAGAGGACGCAAAGCTCAAAGAACACGTGCAAGGGCCAAGGCACACCCACGCAGCACCGTCCCCCACAACGACGTGTGTGCCCCTCCTGCACGTGGAAGAGGCTCACACGCTGGTGAGCATGCCCACACATGCCCAGGGATGTGGAGACCTGGCGTGTCCACACCTGCCTACACTCACATATGTACAGAAGCACACAACACATGCCCCTTCACACACTCACAGACATCCACCACTGTGCACACTCCCGTGTGCATACACGTGCCATACAACACATGTGCCCCGGACAAGTTTCCACACGTGCCATCTGGCTTTCTCCTCAACTGTGCTGCAAGATAGGGAAACTGAGGCTGCCCTTGTGCCCCAGGCTCGGCTCCCTATCTAGAGCCCCGCCTGCCACCCGGCCTCCCCAGCCAGACTCAAATGTGTCCCCAGGATTCGGCTACATTGTGAAGGAGACCTTCCGGCACGCATTGAAGCTGACGGACGACGCCAACCGGTTTCTGATGGAGGCTGGGAAGCTGCTGATTTCCGGGGAGCTGGACACCCTGGAAGGCGGGCTGAACGCCATGATGCAAGTGGCCGCCTGCCCGGTGAGTCGCTGGTGTGCTCGGGTGTCCGGCCGCCCCACGCTGCCCCCCACGGGGTGCTGTGGGCTGCTGGTGCTGACACTGGGCTGGTAAGGAACTCCATAAAGAGCGGGCAGATGGGCCTGCAAGTTTCCCCACAGAGCTCTGGGAACACCCAGAGGGGAAACTGAGGCAAGTAACCCCCCTCCCTCCCACTGGGCGTCTTCATCTCAGGAGGAAGTTGGCTGGCGCAACGTTACTCGAATCCTGGTATTAGCTACTGACCGCAGCCTGCGCTATGGCAGCGATGAGAAGCCGGGCACCCTCCTGACCCCCAGCGATGGCCGCTGCCACCTGAAGGATGACATGCACAAGAGCGGCCGCGGCTCTGTGAGCACCGCACCCACCCTGGCTGGGTGCAGGGCGGGGACCCACAGGGGAGCAGGGGCAAGTGTCCCCCAGACATTAGACAGCCCTGCCTGTGAGCCAGGGGCAGAGCGAGGAGAGACGAGGCGGGCTCATCCACACAGGCAGCCCCAGGGCCTCCTTCCAAGTCAGCTGCAAATTCATGTAGAAACTTCTAGAAGCCCTAGGTTGCAGGTTAGGCCCATGGGGAACCAGCCTTGAGCCAGAAGAGAGTGGTGGATGGCTGAGGCTAGGTATAAAGAGAGGTGGTGCAGACGCAGCTCACGCCCCCGGGGTGGGGCCGGCAGGGGCTGCCCTCCTACCCTGCCCCATAACACGGGGTGCACAAACTGCCACCCTCTGCCTCGGGGGGAGGGCAGGGGGCGGCTGGGCCTCCTCACCTCCACAGAGGAGACTCACGGGCCCAGCCTCCATCCCTCATAGCCCTGGATATCTCCTAGAGGCCATGGCATCCCCCTCCCCTCGCTCTCCTCCCCTTCCTTCCCCTCCCCATCATTTTTTTCTCCCCTCCCTCCTCTTCCCCTCCTTCCCATCTCCTCCCGGCATTTCTCTTGTGACTCCTTCTCTTGTGACTCCTTCTTGCCGTCCCCTTCCTCTCCCTGCCCTGCCTCCAGCGCCCAGAGCAGCCGTAGGGATGGGGGACAGGAATAGCATGGCAGTGGGGAGGTAGCGGCAGGAAGGAGGGGCCTGCAGCTCCACTGGAGTCAGGTGGCCTGGGACCCCGAGTCCCTGTCCTCCCGCAGAAGCCTGCATCAGAGAGGTCCGGGGTCCTACCCCCTGCAGCATGGCCGTTCTCAGCAGTCACAAAAACTCCGGGTGCAACCAAGGACGACTCAGCTGCCCCTTCTGGAGCCCACACACTCTGGGGTGCTGGTGTTCAGAATCTAGGAGGTCTCGAACTTGGTCAGGAAAGGGACACACAACGAGTCAGCATCCCTCGGTTACATAAACACACGCCCACTTGGCGAGACATGATGTCTGACATTGCCCTGTTAGAAATCTGGGGTGTCTGCCCAGCACTCACAGCACGGACGCTGTTGGGGAGCCCCCACCCGCTCCCCTCTTGGCTTCTTTGTCAAGCACGTAACAACCATTTCAAAGGTTGTCCCCACTGAACTTCCATCCACTTGCTTTCCCACGTGAATGATTCCATTCACACGTGGGTTATTCAGAGAAGGCATCCCCAGAACGCAGGGGTGGGCCTGCTTTAGCTGCTGCCCCTTGGCACCCGCATCCACTAGGCAGCCTGGAAGGCTTGTCCCCAGCTTCAGATGCCATCTGACAGGTGTCTCCTCCCTCCAGGACTACCCATCGGTGGGCCAACTAGCACACAAACTGGCAGAAAGCGGTATCCAAACCATCTTTATGGTGACCGCGCGGGCAGTGAAAAGCTATGAGGTGAGTGTCAGGGTCTGGAGCAGTGGAGTCCTGAGGGCAGCCTAGCCACAAGACAGCAAAACCCAAGACCGCACAGCATGTACCTCCTGATTCTGCTTCCCAGCGCGCGGGCGTTACCACAGTCCTGGGAGAAAAAATTAAAAAACCTGAAACAAAAAGAGTTTGAGCCAGGTGCTGGTGGCTCACGCCTGTCATCCTAGCCACTCAGGAGACTGAGATCTGAATATCATGGTTCAAAGCCAGCCCAGGCAGGAAACTCGGTGAGACTCTAATCTCCAATAAACCACTCAGAAAACTGGAAGTGGCACTGGGGCTCAAGCAGTAGAATGGTAGGCTTGAGCTGAAGAGCTGAGGGACAGCACCCAGGCACAGAGTTCAAGCCCCACAACTGACAGAAGAACAGTTGAAGATGTGGTTCAAGTGGAAAAGCACCTGCCTAGCAAGTGCAGTACCCGGAGATCCAACCCCAGTACCAACCCACCAACAAACAGAATCGGGGCACTCTGAAAATTCCCAAGCAGGGACATAGGATAAAAGGGGAAGGAAGTGGTCTTTGGGGCGTCTGGCTCTTCAGCCACACACTGGCCATTTGGCTGTTCCCCAGGTGAGCTTTGTCAAGCTCTGCACTCTGGAACGGTGGGCATCTCGCACCAGTCCCACACGCATCACTCCCCCTCCGCTTCTGGCTGAGTGCTGAGCAGGTTCTACAGGCAGGACAAGGAAGAGCCCAGCTTCCCTGAGCCAGGGCCGCTCCCACACTGGGTCAGGTGGAGTGGGCAGCGGAGCCCTGCAGGAGGTTGGTGGAGAGGCTGTGGAGCACCCTCGGGCAGTCACGGGAGGACACCAGGCAAGAAGTGTCCTAGCCCTCAGTTGTGTGTCCCAGGAAGGGGAGAGGAATGCTCTCTCTTCAAGAAACAAGGCCCTAGGATGAGGCACACATTTGTGTGGAGGGCTGGCCTGTCTGTCATCAGCTGGCCCGCCTCCAGAGGTGGATGGGGGTGTGGCCAAGGGGCATCAGACTGCCCTGCCAAGGCAGATGGTCAGGAGTCAAGTCACAGTCATGGTTAAAATTAGGCATGGACACACTTTGGGCTCACCACTTGGTGCAGTTCTCCCACAGCTTACTGGTAATAGTAATAACCCGGGGATATTTCTGCCTGCCATGCGGATGTGGTGACACACAGGGACATGGCCAACTCAGCAGTGACCCTCTGGGAGCATTCACACCAAGACCCCGGGGCTGCTTCCTTCCTGAGAGCCGGCTGGTGAACGCTTTTCAGCCCGCCAGTGACCACATGCTCTGCAGTGGTGGGTGGTCTCACTGAGGGTGGCCGAGCCGCCTCATAGGCACCAGAGGCCCCTGGACATCACAAGCCCCCACCCAGGGGGGGCCCGGTGCTAGCTGCACCCACCTGTCCCTCTCACCGACAGAAACTCACCGAGATCATCCCCAAGTCAGCTGTCGGGGAGCTGTCTGACAACTTCAGCAACGTGGGGCAGCTCATCAAAAACGCCTATAATGTGAGTCGCTGGCAGGGCGCGGTGCGGGGGGGCTGGGCTGGGCCCCAGAAGCCAGCACCCCTGCCCCCCTGCTGGCCAGCAGAAGGACGGGGAGGGGGGAGCCCTGTCTCATTGGCCCCCTCAGCCTGGTGGCCACATCACACAAAACAGATCTGTGTCCTCTCATCGATGGTGTGGGGGTGCCACCCAGTCCCCCCCCCACTCCTCCCTCGGGCTCTGCCCCCGGTCACCCTGGAGAAGGAGGGCAGATGTTTTCCCTATGGGGGAGGCCCCGGAATCCCTGCAAAGATGCCCATGGGGTGAGGCACCCCTTTTGCCAGCCTCCCTACACTGTCCTGCACGAGCCCTGCAGGGTCCCTCCTCCTCCCCCTCCTCCTCCTCTTTCCCCCCTACTCCTCCTCCTCCCCCTCCTCTTCTTCCTCCCAGGCTCCTGGCCCACCCTGCTGCTGCCCCCAGAGCTGTGCTGCTCCCAGAATCGGGGTCCTGGTACCTGTGGGAGTGAGCCAGGCTCTACTCAGGGCCTGGCCTCAGTGGGTCCCCAGCTGCCTTGGAAATCTCTTGGAAGTAAGCAGTGTTCCGAGAGCTCTCACCCCTAAGCCTGGCCGCTCTGCTTGCAGAAACTGTCCTCCCGCGTCTTCCTGGACCACAGCCCCCTCCCCGACACCCTGAGGGTCACCTACGACTCCTTCTGCAGTAACGGGGCGTCTCACATGGGCCAGCCCAGAGGAGACTGCGATGGCGTGCAGATCAATGTCCCAGTAAGCTGGGCCTCCACCCCAGCCCGGGAGCCCTGGCCTCCATCCTGACCCAGGAACTCTGGCCTCCACCCCAGCCCAAGAGCCCTGGCCTCCATCCTGACCCAGGAACCCTGGCCTCCACCGTGGCCCAGGAGTCCTGCCCTCCACCATAGCCTGGGGACTCCATCCCAGCCTCTGGAAGGCCTGCCAGGGTTTTCCAGACTTGTCCTCACTGATGGCCACAGGAATGGAGGCTCGCATGGGAATAGCAAGAAGGTCACAGCCTCCGTCCAGCAGCCAGCCCAGCTCTCCTGCCTTTGAACATCCTCTGCCCCCAGGCCAAAGATTCCCTGTGGCACTCGCCTGGGCTCTAATGTCAGGGACAGGACTCAGGAAGGCACCTTCCACGATCACCCGCACAGAGAGCCCACATCCCCACACAGGGCCAGTGTGCAAGGCTCTAGACAGCACCTCCGGGGGTGGCTGCAGGGCGCAGGGTGACACCACCTCCATCCATGAGGCCCTGCGGACACCTCCATCCACAGAGCCCCATGGAGGGTACGGGGCACCCGCACCCCCGTCCACACGGCCCTGCGGAGCGAGGCCTGCCTCCCCTCCCCACTGTGTCCTGCTCTCCCCACAGATCACCTTCCAGGTGAAGGTCACGGCCACCGCCTGCCTGCAGCAGCAGTCGTTTGTCATCCGGGCCCTGGGCTTCACAGACACAGTGACCGTGCGGGTCCTCCCGCAGTGCCAGTGCCAGTGTCAGGACCAGAAGCAGGACCGCAGGCTCTGCGGGGGCCAGGGCTCGCTGGAGTGCGGCATCTGCAGGTGAGGCGGGCACGCACATGTGTGCATACATACACACACACACACACACACTGGGCAGCAGGCCCACGCCTAAGCACACAGTGCACCCACTCACCCACGACTTACCGCTCTGTGGCCCTGGGATTCCTGGCTAGCAGGCCAGCAGCACGGAGCCAGAGAACCCCAGGACTGGTGACAATCCAGCAGCCTGGATCTTGGAAGCCCCCCCAACCCCTGAGCTGTCACACAAAGCCTTGGTTCAAAATACATTCAGAAGAGGCCTCTCTCGTGTGCCCTACGGGAGAGTCCTGACCCGCAGGGTGCTGGCTGTCATGCGCAGCCCGGTGCTCCAGCCACATGCGGATTATCCTCATTCTGGACCCTGCTGCCATCAGTCCCCCAAAGACACCAGAGAGGCTGCTGCGGTCTGGGTCCACACAGATCCACACAGTCACATGCTATTCCTCAGGGTGCGGGGGCCCACGGTGAACAATAACTCACTAGCAGACCCGAAGACCCCATAAGTTCCCAACAGCTCCAACCAGCTGTGAGACGGAGAAACCAAGGCAGAGCAGGCAGGAGAATCTTCCAGAGACTGGACGGCTCACTCTGCAGGGCCCATCCCAGGGCGCCATGGCCCTGTGGCTCTCCCCCAGCCCTGAGCCCACACACTCTGCAGGGCCCATCCCGGGGCACCATGGCCGTGTGGCTCTCCCCCAGCCCTGAGCCCACACACTCACCAAGCTGCCAAGCTGCAGCCAGACAGCAGACCCTGGGCTGGGCTGGACTGGACCCCTCGGCCCCGGGCCCTAGGACCCCCACCTACTCCAGAGCCCAGAGTATTTTCCAGGCTGACCCCGCCCGCCCTAGGGCACCTTCTCCTTTTACTACCAACCCCCCTCTCCCCGTCCTTGCTACCCTGCCCAAGCCCTGCCCAGCAGCTCTAGAACGTGACTACTCCATGTCTGTCCCGCACCTCCGGGCAGTGCTACCTTGCCCTTGTCCTGCGTGTGCAGCTGTGGGGCGTCCTCCCCGGGGAATAAGGATGACTCCTCTGCGCACATGGCCACTGGTCAATGATCCAGAAGCTTCCTCCTCCCAGGGGCAGGACAGCCCATCACAGCGTCCTCTCTGAGCACATCTAGACACATGCTCGGAGCCCAAACGCCAGTGGCCCGGCTGCTGCCCCCATGTCCTACTAACCTGCATGTGCCACTTCCTCCTGCCAACCTAGCGCGATGGGGAGACGGTATCACGTGTCCACCCACCCTCAGCAGGCCTGGGATGGGGTGAGGAGCTCGTGCTGCCCACCTGGCCCAGGCTGCATGCACAGCTCCACCCAGGTCCTAGGTCACAGGGCAGGGTCACACGTGTGCCCTTGGGATGACCTGGCCTGGTTCCTGGAGAAACAGATCCAGAGCTGGTAACACTGCCACTGTGGACCAGTGATCAGGCCCTGAGCACAGGAAGTGTCCCTACCACAGGGGCGGGCCCTGAGCACAGGAAGTGTCCCCACCACAGGGGCGGGCCTGAGCACAGGAAGTATTCTCACCACAGGGGCGGGCCTGAGGACAGGAAGTGTTCTCACCACAGGGGTGGGCTTGAGGACAGGAAGTGTCCCCACCACAGGGGAGGGCCCTGAGCATAGGAAGTGTTCTCACCACAGGGGCGGGCCTGAGCACAGGAAGTGTCCTCACCACAGGGGCGGGCCTGAGCACAGGAAGTGTCCCCACCACAGGGGCGGGCCTGAGGACAGGAAGTGTCCCCACCACAGGGGCGGGCCTGAGGACAGGAGGTGTCCCCACCACAGGGGCGGGCCTGAGCACAGGAGGTGTCCCCACCACAGGGGCGGGCCTGAGCACAGGAGGTGTCCCCACCACAGGGGCGGGCCTGAGGACAGGAGGTGTCCCCACCACAGGGGCGGGCCTGAGCACAGGAGGTGTCCCCACCACAGGGGCGGGCCTGAGCACAGGAGGTGTCCCCACCACAGGGGCGGGCCTGAGCACAGGAAATGTTCTCACCAGAGGGGCAAGGCCTGAGGATAGGAAGTGTCCCCACCACAGGGGAGGCCCTGAGCCCAGCGCCTCTCACCCCAGGTGTGATGCTGGCTACAGTGGGAAGAACTGCGAGTGTCAGACACAGAGCAAGAGCAGCCAGGAGCTGGAGGGAAGCTGCCGGAAGGACAACAGCTCCCTCGTGTGCTCGGGGATGGGTGACTGCGTCTGCGGGCAGTGTATGTGCCACACCAGCGACGAACCCAACAAGGAGATCTTTGGGCGGTACTGTGAGTGTGACAGTGTCAACTGTGAGCGGTACCAAGGCCAGCCCTGCGGTGGCCCGAGTGAGTGGCGGCCCGGCCTGGGCCATCGGCTTGGCTTTCTTGTCCATTTGCACAGCAAGACCAAGCACAGAACTCAGGGACGGACAGACAGATGACAGATGACTGGGAATTCTGCTCAGTCCATCAGCAGCAGGACCTAGAGGGGCCCTGGTCTCTGCGTGGCCACTTTCTTCATCTGAGAAAGTCACACAAGGAAGATGGTCCTAGTCAGACCAGCTGAGGAACGGCTAGGCACAGTTGTCCTTATTGGTGGGGCTGTGGAGCCCAGGAAGGGCAGGTAGGGGGTGGAGGAGGGGCAGGAGGAGGATGGAGGAGGGATGGGCAGAGGGCAGGGAAGGGCGGGTGGAGGCTGGACATTCCCATCTCTGCGGAAGGCCATGTCTGGGGAAGGAGCAGCCCGGGGGGTGGTGTGGACCTCCCGGCTGCCCGGTGAATCCCCGGACCTCGCTGTCTCCAGAGAGGGGTGAGTGCTTCTGCGGCCAGTGCCAATGCAAGCCGGGATTCGAGGGCTCAGCCTGCCAGTGCTCGAGGTCCACCGCAGGCTGCCTGAACCCACGCGGAGTGGAATGCAGCGGCCGCGGCAGGTGCCAGTGCAACACGTGCAAGTGTGACCCTGGCTACCAGCCGCCCCTGTGCGTGGAGTGCCCGGGCTGCCCAGCACCCTGCAGCAGCTACACGTGAGTGTGCCCACCGCCCAGGCCCGCCTGGCTCCGGGCATGCTGGGGACGCCCGGGAGCACCCGCTTCGCAGCAGTCCCAGGCAGGGTCCAGCTGGCCGGGCCTTGCGCCCCGCCTCCCTCTGAGCCCTTCAGCTCCCCAGCATGCACTCCCCACACCCCCATCCACTGGAGGGCCAGCACCCAGACCACACCCCAGGTGTGCACACCACACACCCTGGCACACCCATCCACACGCGTCCCGTCTGAAGCTCTTATCACCCAGCACCCTCACACCTGCTCACCCCTGTCCTCCGCAGCTCCTGCGTGGAGTGCCTGAAATTCGCCAAGGGCCCCTACAAGAAGAACTGCAGCGCTGCGTGTGTGAACGTGAGGCTGCAGAATGCCACCAGGAAGGGCAAGTCCTGCAAGGAGCGGGACTCAGACAACTGCTGGATCTCCTACACCATGCAGCAGCGGGACGGGAGGGACAGCTACGACATCTATGTGGAGGACAGCCGAGGTGAGGCCGGGCAGGGGGACAGGACGGGAGGGACAGCTACGACATCTACGTGGAGAGCAGCCGAGGTGAGGCTGGACAGGGGAACAGGACGGGAGGGACAGCTATGACATCCACGTGGAGAGCAGCCGAGGTGAGGCTGGACAGGGGGACAGGACGGGAGGGACAGCTATGACATCCACGTGGAGAGCAGCCGAGGTGAGGCCGGGCAGGGGGACAGTGTGGGCAGGTGGACTATGGTGACAAGAACTCCAACCACAGATTGGAAGGAGCTGTAGGGGTGGGGACTCTGGGGCGGGGCCAGGCTAGCCCAGCAACAGAGGGCTTGCTGTCCATGCCACCTGGATGGCGGCATCTCAGGGCAGCCAATCACCTGCACGGTCCGACTGACTTTCCCTCTCGCTCCACTTTCCTTATCTGAGCCTGCAACAGGCAGCAGACCGCACCTGGGGTTCCCACGGCACACACTACGCCTACTGGGCATGGAACTACCGGCTGTCCCGGTGGCTGGTGACCACATGCTGTCTCCGCCGGGCTTTGCTCTGGGAGGCCTGTGGCCTGTCCTCTCCCCTCTGGGAACAAAGGGTCATGCCAAGCAAGTGCCATTCGGAGCCACAGGGCCTGGGGGGCCGTGGTGGGTGACAAGGCCGCACAGGATGCAGTCGCCACAGTCCTACAGTGGGACTGGACACCAGCCATGTGCTTCCTCTCTAGAGTGCGTGTTGGCTCCCAGAATCACCAGCACGATGTCAGTGGTAATAGGCATGTGCTGTGTCTGTGTGCTCATTTTTCTCCTGGTGGTCATCTATTTGATCCTGACCCACTTCATGAAGGGAGGAGCTCCAGCCCCGACAGAACCACGTAAGTGGGGGCACTGGGGGTCCCGTTTGGAGGACCACATGCCTCCATCCTCTGGAAGTAACCATAGCAGGGCCATGCCCTAGGGTCAGCCACGAGGGACGCACACACACACCAGGCCTCAGCAGCTAGTTCCCCGAGCATGCACACCTGTGTATAAGCTTTGTAACTAAGGACTGAACCCTGGGGAGAGCCCACACGGAGCCCCTCCTCAGAGTGACCCCCGAACTGAAGTGATGGTCTCTGACTCAGCTCTGAAAGCCCCTGCACTGACAAGGCTGTGTTTGGTTTCTCTCCAGAATAACCCACTCTTCAAGAGCTCTCTCGTCAACTCCTGAGACTGCTGAGAGCTAGAGCACAGGTGAAAGTAAAGTGGCTACCACCAGCCAGACAAGACTCTCAAGCTCCGCCCCCTGCCTCCTGTGACCCTCAAGCTCCGCCCCCTGCCTCCTGTGACCCTCAAGCCCCGCCTCCTACCCCTTGCCACTGTGACTAGCTTGCAGGTCAGAGCAGAATCACCAATGACCCAAAAGTCCGCTCTACCTTCTGCCTTCAAAATGGCAGATCTGTCTGGGTTCTATATAGTTATCCTCAGGGACCACCTCCTTTCTGAACCTCTTAAATCCTAGGTTTGATTAAACATAGCCTATCGCTAAAATCTGTAAGATTCACAGTTTATTTGTTAAATGTATGAGGGTATAAAATTGGACCCTATGCCTCTACTGTTAACCAATCACATATGCAGGCATCACACGCTACATGCATCCTCCTCCCTCCAGCCCTACCTGGCTCACAGGTGTGGTCATCCGTCTGAGAAGAAATCAGTTACTCAGAAAATTGAGTGTCTCTCTCCATTCCCTCCTCAAGCACGTGAGGCTCAGAAAGAGTGCAGCCAGCCACTGCTGCTGCTGCTTATCTGTTCATGTGACTAAATGTGCTGAAGGCTGTGCACTGGTGGCTCGGGCCTACAAATCCTAGAGACTCAAGAGGATCCTGGCTCAAGGCCAACCCAGGCAAAAAGTCCACTAGATTCTATCTTCCATATAACCAGCAAAAAGTAGGTCTGGAGGTGTAGTAGAGCACCAGCCTAGCGAGCAAGCCAAGCATGTATAAAGCTGTGTGTTCAAACCCCAGGACTGCATTATATATGTGCGTGTGTGTGTGTGTGTGTGTGTGTGTGTGTGTGTGTGAGAGAGAGAGAGAGAGAGAGAGAGAGAGAGGAGGAGCTAATCTAGCTGTCCATGCATAAGACAAAGATATACAAGACAAATTTTATGTGTGCTGGGCCTGGGGCTAGAACTCAAGACATTGAATTCTCCTTTGGCTTTTTTGCTCACTGTTGTTGCTCTTGGGGTCCAGGGATCCAAACCCTCCACAAACCTATCAATGCCTCTGCAGCCTTCTGTTCACCAAACACAGCACACAGACCACCCGCTCCCTGATACTGGAAGAGGAGAGGTGGGAGAGAATGGGTGAAGCATCCTCCTGCTCCCCAAGGGGTAGACCCAGCCCGTTCATGGGCCACTGAGATCATTCTCTGTAGATGCATCATGTCATATTTGACAGGAGAGTGAGAAGAATGGGAACCCTGCCCTGTCCACCAGCCAGCAAAACCTCAGACACGTTGTTCGTGAACAGCCTGTCCACTCACAGCCCTGTTCTAGACTCTGGCCAGCACCAACCCTCTTTTGGGAAAGTGCACCCTGGTTTTCCAGACCCAGAGGAGCCTAGGAGCCTCTTCTTCCCTAAGAGCCTCTAAGAGCCAGGCAAAGGCCGACCTTCCCACCCACAGGTCAAGTTAAGAAACCCCAGCCCAGCTGCCGCTCTGATGAAATGTAACCTCAGCCATTGTGTAATAGTCCACTTTCTAGTCACCATATTTTAAGAGTGAGTGGACATATTAATGTGTGTGTGCATGTGTGTGTGCATGCATGAATGTGTGCGTGTGCGTGTATGCATGTGTGTATGTGTGTGTGTGTGTGTTGGTCTTGGGACTTTAACTTTTTTATTAATAAGTTTTTTATGGTGAAAATACCATATAGAGGGGTTACAATTACATAAGCAAGGTAATGAGTGCATTTCTTTTTTTATGGGGGGGGATGGGGAGTCCAGTTGTGGGGCCTGAACTCTGGGCCTGGGCCCTGTCCCTCAGTTCTTCAGCTCAAGGCTAGCACTCTACTACTTGAGCCACAGCGCCACTTCTGGCTTTTTTCTTTTTGCTTATGTGGTGCTGAGGAATTGAACCCAGGGCTTCATGCATGCAAGGCAAGCACTCTACCACTGAGCCACCTTCCCAGCCCCTGAGTGCATTTCTTATCAAGCATTGTTGCCTCCTCCTTTGTTTCCCCTTATGATCCCTACCCTCCCATCCCCTACCCAAGTTGTAAAGTTTGTTTTTTCGACATAACATCTTGTACATCTCATTGTTGCAATGGGTCCACCTGTAACCCTATTTAAACGATTTGTTTTTTCCCTTCCCCTCCACAAAGTATATCAACATCATATACAGTGAAAACAGGAGTTATACCGTGGGGGAAGGACATACAAAGCAACAAAGAAATCATCTTATAAATATGTTAGAAACAATAGCAAGAAAGAAAAACTATTTGAGTTCTTATCTTGGGGTTCATTTCACCTAACATCAACTCATCTGACCGTTTCAGCTTGTCTCAGACAATAGTAGTTATTGCAAATAAGGGAAACCATGGGACTTATGTTTCTTTGGGCCTGGCTTACTTCACTTAATATAATTTTTTCCAAGTCTTTCCATTTCCTAACAAATGGGGCAATGTCATCCTTTCTGATGGAGGCATAGAATTCCATCGTGTGCTGGGACTTAAACTTAGGGCCTGGGCTCTATCTCTTAGATTTTCCACTCAAGGATGGTACTCTATTACTTGAGCCACAGCTCCACTTATGGCTTTTTGGTGCTTACTTGTAAGTAAGAGTCCTATGCACTTTCCTGCCCACACTGGCTTCAAACTATGATTTAAAGCCTCAGACTCCTAAGTAGTAAGCCACTAACACCTGGCAATTAATTTTGACAATATGGTTGAATTCACTTGTGGGGTACTACTTACTGACATGAGGACCAATGAGTCAGGGAAGAAATCTGGTGTTGATTTGATATAGATTCGGCATTCTCATCCAACATTCCAGTGAGCCACCCAGTAGGAAATTCTGTAACGAGATGGAGCTGGACAAGGGAGGTCAGAGATGAAGGAAAGCATGTGGGCCTTCCAGATGTGCGGGGTGATCATCCTTCACAGGAACACCAGATGAGAAGAGTCTTCAATAAGGGGATTTTCAGATTTTGGAATATTTTCCTGACTTTACCAATTGAGCATTCTCATCAAGAAATCCTAAATCTAAACATCTTTGAGACTCTTGCTAGCATTCAAAAAGCTTCCTCTTTAGCTTCCTCTGACGCTTAGGAGACTGAGAGCTGGAGAACAATTACAGTCCCAGGCCAGCCTAGACAAGTAGCTAATCCAAACAGTGGCTTCCTTTCCCCTCTGTTTCATCCCCAGTCCCTGACTCTCAAACAAACGTAACCCACCCCACCAATGGTGCAACCACTGGGTCAAGTATCTAATCAGCAATCTGGGCAAAAAGATAACTGAACTTAAGAACCATCTTTAATTCAAAGAGCCAATTCTGGACCACCTGAAGATGTCACAAATATCTCAACTGTCCTGGCTCTATCCATTGGCTGCAACATCGCCATCTTTAAAGAAATATATGGTGGACCAACCTACAAAGCAAAGATGTTTCCATGTGTCAGACGAGATCTCAAACACAGGTTCATAGATATAATTGTGAGTCACAGTTGACTGTAAAACAACACTTGGACAAAACTAATCACTTGGAAATTCTGTGAAGACAGAAACCTTTAAAATTCAGCAAGTGTTTATTGCCGAAGGATCACTGAAGATAATTGTGAAACAAACGTGACTCCCTGCTCTTGAGACCCAGAAAGGCTGTGTCTTGGGAGCTGGGAGTCTGTCTCCCAAAAGCAGTACATTCCTGCTCAGCTACTCGCCTTAAATTTTATGCAACTTCTACTCACCATATTTGCTGACGTATGCCATAGAAAAACAGTTTATTGAAGTTTTCTTCTCTGTTTTCTAAATTACCACAGGTCATTTCATCATGAGGTATTTAACTAACCCTCCTTATATATTAAGATACGTATAAAATACTTTGGAAGATGTGTGCTAAGATGGCTATAGGGTTGGGCATGGATTTCTGTAACTTTAACAGGTGTTATGTGTGTGTAGGTGTGGTGTAAGGAGATGTTCTGTGTGTTTGGATGTATGTTAGGAGGTTTTTTATGTTGGGTGTAACTTCACAAGGTGTTGTATGTGTTTGAGTGTGATATTAGGAGGTGTTCTATGTGTTTGGATATAACTTTAGGAGGTATTGTGTGTGGGGGGGGGTGTGGAGGTGTTCTATGTGGGTGTAACTTTAGGAGGTGTTGTGTGGGGGAGGTGTGGTGTGAGGAGGTGTTCTGTGTGTTTGGATATAACTTTAGGAGGTGTTGTGTGGGGGAGGTGTGGTGTGAGGAGGTGTTCTGTGTGTTTGGATATAACTTTAGGAGGTGTTGTGTGGGGGTGTGGTGTGGAGGTGTTCTGTGTGGGTGTAACTTTAGGAGGTGTTGTGTGCGTGTGGGTGTGGTGTGAGGAGGTGTTCTGTGTGTTTGGATATAACTTTAGGATGTGTTGTGTGGGGGTGTGGTGTGGAGGTGTTCTGTGTGGGTGTAACTTTAGGAGGTGTTGTGTACGTGTGTATGTGGGGTGAGGAGGTGTTCTGTGTGTTTGGGTGTAACTTTAGGAGGTGTGTGGGTGTGGTGTGAGGAGGTGTTCTGTGTGCTTTCAACCTCTGGACTTAAGAAAGCGCAAGCTACCTTCCCTCCCTGAACACTGCCCAGCCTGCATCAGCCTGACTCAAACTGTTTCCTGACAGGAAATCTCATCTATACCAGCATAAAACTGTCTTGCTTTTAACTTCTTTTTTTATTTCCTGGCTCATAAGGTAGTATAGAAACATTTTCTCCCTGCTCTCCTAGACTCAAAGGCCAGATACTAATAATCACATTAAAAAGAAACACATTAGCTAGAGAAAAAGACGGTTTTAATCCCAAATTTTATGCAGGGAAGTTCACCAAGAACCAAAGAGTCTCCAGGAAGCAGCGAGTCGATTGAGGGTTCTCTACCAGCTTAGGAAGAGTGGGTTTTGAGACAGATCAGAGGAACCTAATTCCCCAACCCCAGGGCCCGGGGACAGGGGTTACGCACCGTGAAATGCTGTTGAAAATGTACATTTTAGTTTCCTGCTGAGCTTTCTCTGAGCCTGTATGCCGTGCACTCTATAATGTTTTCCTTTGTGAATGAACAAAGCCACAGGGAATGGATATTACAGGCCTTCAAATGGCAGCAGAGAGACCGTTCCCTTCGGCCTGGCAGCTTGGAGCGGGGAGCTTGGAGCCTAGCAGTCCCTCCTCCTGCAGCCAGTCAATGTGCTCTCACAGTGGCCTGGCTGTTTGGGACCCTTGACTGTCACTCCGTACACACTTCAACTGCAACTTAGCCTTCAACACCTGCTCCAGGAGCCCTTGCTCTAGTAAA